GGTTCTACGTGCTGCGGCATGGACGGCTACGGCGATTTTGGTAGGTTTAAGAAATATTTACCATTTCTCTTACGGTCTTGTGCTCATTTACTCTTTCTCCATCTCTGCAGAAAAACTGAACAAGTCCCTACCTTTACAATGCTGCAATATGACGGCCATTTCTTGTGATTCTAAGACAGCCCAGAGTGTCAGTGTGCCGGGATGCAGAGACAAAATTGTCAAATTTGCCGCAGACAATATGATGACTTTTATGTATATCTCTATTGCCGCTATTCTGCTGGAGGTGAGTTCTAGTGCCATGCTATGCTCTGCCAGTAAATGGGGTGATTTTGGATCTGTCTGTGAAACCCACCTTGTTTACATTTTAGGGCGCACTCATCGTAATTGTGATGCTCTTAATTTTCTTGTAAACAAATGGTGTAGGCAAATGGAGATCATGGCAAATATTAACAGAACCCATATATCTACTTCCATTACCTGTTTTACGCCCACAACTTTCCACTATTTTTCTCATAATCCAGAATTACCCTGTTTTCTGTGTTGCTCTGTTCTCTCCTTGACTATGTTGGTGAATATAGGGATGGCGTTTGCTTCTATTCTGGGTGCTTTATTTGATACAATGCTTTTGAAGAGGTTGGACCGCAAATCTACCTCCACCACTCAATCACTGTGAATAAAAATAAATGGGTTTATCTGAGACATCAGATCTTGTATTCCACAAGACTGCGTTTGAGGAGTTCACTGCACAAGTGGGTGGATAGATGATTAGGTGGGAAGGCAGGTGTGCGGATGAGTGGTTAGTAGAGATGGTGCGGACAGCACATTCGACTAATTGGCGGAATGAACAGGAAGAGAAGGTATGAATTAATTTGGCATTGGACAGAAATAAATTAGCCTACATGGGTGGTCAGGAACACAAAGGGATTTATAAAGGACCATAGTGAAGGCAGAAGACGATTTTTCCTTTCTTAAGTTAGGCCCGCAATCGATTGCCATTTGAGAAACATTTTTGCTTGCTTCAAAATGTCATGTTATGACCAGTTGCATCACATTCGAAGCGGCCACTGGTACTTTGAATCATGTTGGGGTTAAGCATGTCGGAGGGACCACCGCGTATGCAGACGGTGACTTACAGTTTTGACCTAAGAATGCTCAAGGTAAATGTCTTTAGATTTTCACAATATAGGCAACATTTTCGCTTGTACTGTCACCCATACTGATTGGATGGAGGAGATCGGCCCATGGGATCAGCGCCATTCCTACTGGTTGGATGGAGGGATGTGTGCAGGTCCTTCTCCATCCTTTGGTCAAATTCGCTAACTTCCTGTAAGTTGTCATAATTAAATTGGAAATTGGAATCGAGATTCAACTGTATAATATCTTACAAAGGCTATAAAACAAGGGCCATCTTTGCAAATTTTAAGCACAAAATAAGTACTCACTGTTTTTACTACTACTTTCGAATTGATGGTGCTTTTCGGCCATCACGATGCAGCAATGAAGTGACCAGTAAAGGAGGCGACTGCCGATGCCTGCTAGCTTCTTCACCACAATCGGTGAACATAGACATGTAGATTTAAGAGCTCTGTATGGGTTTCTCTATTTCTGAGTTTGGCAGGCTCGACAGGATCCAATTCTACGTGCATGGATAGGTAACAGTTTGCCACTTCCCACCAACCCTTTGATGAAAAACCTCCAGAATTTGCCAATTCCTAAACACTGCATCACATGTAAACGCTGAATGCATGCATGCATGCATGAAATTGTATCTGTCATACTTGCGATGGAATGCCATTCAAATGCTACCTCGTATGTTTTCACTGAAAGTAAGAAGAATGGGTAGGTTTGACTGATTTGGCAGCAAAGAACACTGCGAATGGGCACCATGTGATATAATCACAAGTATGACAGGTCATCCACCCATGCAAAAGTGCTCCAAGTAAAAAACAGGCGTTGGATTGTCGATTAGATGTCAAACAGGAAATTAACCAATGACATTTTCAGGTACCCACTTCTCCACTTTGATTGGTCTCTTCACTACCTGAAATGTGCGCAGTCGCAGTGGGAAGGTGAATAGCATTGGCTTAAGAGGAGTTTGCGCTGACTTTAAATTTACCTTTTGTTCATCGTCAGTTAGCATTTCATAGGTCAATCCAGAGAATCGACTGAGGTGAGCACCTCTCTTATTCCGATGTAATCGGAATGCTAATGCGAGTTCCTCGCTCTTCTACCACATACTCCTTTCCACATCTGTCTGCCTGGATGGCTGAATGGCTAGGTGGATGAATAAAATAAAGGACGGTTGGATACGAGATGGATGTGTGATGCCGAAGATACTTCTTGCCTTGTCTTATAGCTCCTGATTTGCCAATATTACCTCCAGAGAGCCAATATTTAAGGTGTGCTTTTTCTCAGAGGTGGAATAGATTTAAAATCACCAATTCTTTCTTTTTTCCCTTGTCAGGTTGTCAAATTTGGTGGACCAAAAGACTGTCATTGACCCCTCATCAACCCAGGGCGGTGTCATGTGTACGGATGATTAGGCTTTGGCACCCCTTTTTCGCTTTATCCGTCTTCAGGGAGGGAAAAACTTTGAATACGATCAGGCAACAAGTGTGGATGTTTAAGTACGTGAACGGCTGTGAATAGCAGGTGACTGTGAGGCATTTGAGCCACTCGTCAATCGGTTCTTCCAGTTTGAGACGTTCGCAATAACGTCTGACTCTTCCTGCGTTGACCACGTAATCTTGTCATCACATTTGAACCCCTTCACATGGTTGCAACGCAGATCGAAGATAAACAATTGAAACCGTCCTGAGAAAGTGGATGGATTAGTCAATCAGTCGGGACAACTTTATTTTCTTGCTTTACAGAGCAACAAACGAGCTGCAGTCAAGGGCTGCGTCACAACACACTTATGAGAAGACCTGGTTATTATTTTCTGGTATGTCAGTGATGCCCCATTCTTGTCCTCGTCCTCCTTTTCGCCTTGCTGTCAGTGATATTAGTCAATCACAAGAACAATCGACGGGCGTTTACAAACCAAGATAGAGATCGGAATGAGAGGGCTATGGTTGAGTTCATTTGGCCATCTGAACACATAACATTCTATGGATTTCAAAATGGTAACTAGATAGTGGTTGTATGAAACGGGATCACTTTTTGTGCCAGCATTTCTTTCAGGGAATGATTGTACTGTCAGGGACTAAAAACATAACATTTAAACTCAGAGAGGGATGTGCTAAAAGGAGCGTCACATCATGCGTAGGTGACTGAACTACTCAATATATCGGAGTAAATTAATTTTTCTCTTTTCGACAGGGTAACAAAACACCTGCAACTAAATGTACTGGCAATGTCTCCCCGAACGGAATGTGCTCTAGGGGTCTCTGAATGTAGTATTACAAAGGGGGCAGGTATGCTGTAAAAGGAATTTTACAAGATGTAACAGTCATATTTTTTGCAGATCGAAAACCTTCTTGTCATGGAACTTTTGCGTCGTTGAATCCTCAACTTCAATCCTGTTTAGCGAGCGTGTTGATGGGATAGTGGGTGGAATCGATGTACGCTCAATTGCTAGGTCAACTTTATTGTTTTAGTAGTGGGTCGTGGAATAAATTAAAGCTCTCCTTGAGGTTTCATTTATTTCATCTCTGTTTGGAACGGTTTGCAAAAGAATACCATGTCACTAATCAGTTACAACAAAGGCCTGATGTAACAAATAGACTACTGCGAAATCTTTACTGAAAGTGTTCCTCTAACAGACGGTTGACAATAAAGCAAATTTTTACTTTAGCCTCGTGCGGATTACCTTACTGTCTGAATGCATAACTACTCGACACACCACCGTCCATATAATACCATCTAATTGCTATCAGTACTTCCAATTTAAAGCAAATCGGCAATGGCTGATCTTTTTTAGAAAGAATGGTTGCAATCCCTATTGTGATGCATTAGCTAGTTTTTTAAACGTAAAATACTAGTAGATTCAGTGAGTAAAATGTGCGGTTGTGGTTTGGTGATAAATGAACTCGGTAAATTAATGACAAATTTCCTTTTCTTTTCTACGAATATACCACTATTTCGAATGTTGGAACTGTCATAGAATCCATCGGTGATTTATCACTCTTGCATACTGCTAACATTGTCAAATTAACTTATAAACAGCGAAAGTGATACTACAAAGAAAGTAGGGAAGGGTAAATGCCAAGAGCTGTCTGTAATGTAATAGTGATGACAAGCAAATAAACGGAGTTCAATTTCCTTCTTTCGCAATAAATGCCATTAACTAAGTGCGGACAGCAATCTTGTACTCCCCAACAGGCAGATTCTATATACCTCACCATGGATGGCCATGAGGATTTCAGTATTATTAAAAAAGGCAAAACGCTGCCTAAATCATGCTGCAATAAAGCGTCGGTTCTTGTGAATTTTTAGAAGGCAAAATCGCTAATGTGAATGGATGCAGTGACAAAATTGTCAAAATTATCGCAGACTGTACGAAGCTTACCACGTCTGTGCCCAATGGTATGATTATGTTGCAAGTGAACCCCAAATTCATCCCTTCACATCCAACTTGCAGGCCACTTCAATCGTATTTGTGATGCATGTGTCCTGCTTGTAAACAAATAGTGGAGCTCAATGGGTGATTGAGACAGCCCACAAATGAGCCAACATTCCGCAGCTCCGACCTTTATTTCACAAATGCCACCATCCACCCATTCCACATTGAGCTGAAGTGTGATGCTTCAAAATTCTAATTCAATCGTGAAATCTCAATTCGATGCAATCGGTTGGGAGTAATTGTGGCCCAGAGCCACACTGAGCTCCTGCTTGTTTAATTTGACCTCATTTTACTGCCGCAAAAAATTGTTTTTCTTGATTTGGCATTCTAAAGTTTGTTCTCTGACATTAATTTCCCAGATGTTCCTGGAAGTACCTTGACTTGCAATCCCTTGGAATTTGACTCCATGGCTAATGTCACATTCGAACACATGTCCATGTGATTACGCCAGGATCAGGGCGACCAGATATTTTGCACACACACGAAAATAAATTTAAGCTGGTGTCCAGACACACACTCATGCAAATTTGCGTTCTGGTTTTTCAAACTTTGGCCGCATTATTGATAACTCGATTACTCAAGCTGGATGTGTTTATCGCCCATGCAGCCACAGGTTTTGAAAAAAATTGTCTCTACACCCGCCTATGCTAAATTGTGACGTTTGAGTTCAAGTGCTTTTGTCTGGCAGGTTTAGTTTGATGTCAACATATACTCCAGTCTTTCAATCATGCTAACAGACTACAATCCACTAAGCTGCTTTAATCTGTCCTAGTAGCATATTTTCTGCTTCCACATCCTTTTTTCAACAGAAGCATAAAGCCTAGCATTATGAGTTGAAAAGGGTTG